AGAGGGTTCGCTATTGATGAGCCATGTTCTACCTTTTATTTATTTTTTAATCATTGAAGTAAAAAAACTGTAGAGCAATAATTTTAAATATAAAAAGTTGAATTTCAAACCTTTTTCTCTAGCATTAATTACTATCAAAAGTAGAGAAATGCCTACATATTATTGACTGTATTGGCTCATCCATTGATGAGCTCTACTCTTCCCCGGCAGATACCATCAAAAGTCTCAAGCTTTACAAGCTTGATACCTTAGTGTGATTTGAGTGGAGATAAGAAAGAAGAAGAAGAAGAGAAATGCCTAATTTATTATTAAAGATAATTATTATGTTTACGTTTTATTGACATTTTTTCAAGCTTCCCATGGCTAAGTATTCTCTCTTCTCTTGGAGGTTTTAATCTAAAGTCGAGCGGCGAAGTACTGTACGGCGTGGATTAGGTGACGGGATTAAGAACTAATTGTATCTCCCAAGTTGTGTGAGAGATAAGGAGGTCGATTTTCTTAATTAAAAATCCTGTTTGACTCTCTGATCCTTCTCTAATTCTTAGAAAGATCTTTTACAACCGGCGAGTCCTGCCGACCAGCAGTAGTCTTCTAGGCCAGAAGTCGGTAACCTGCGTCTTGCGAACCACATGCGGCTCTTTGGATGTGAAACTGCGTTGGCAAGAAAAAAAAATTATGGATCTTTAAAAACTTTGAAATTTTGTAAATTGTAATTTTTGACTCTTCCGACTCAAAAGGTTGTCGACCCATGTTCTAGGTTAATGATTGATTCAGTCTGGTATTGGTGAATCAAGACAATAATTATCTTGGTCAGCAACTATGTTACCGAGTAGGTGCTACGACAGGTAAAGTACGGTATAGGACATGTAAGATTTAGAAGAGATAGGTGAGGTGACGGTACCTGGACGCGGGAGAGGCCGGGAGGTAGAGTGTAGTTCCAAGCCCGGTGGAGCAGGGCCGTGGTGTCGGGGATGCCGGCGGTGGCCATCGCGGTGGTTAGCGCGGCACGGAGCCACAGCAGGCCTGCACAGACACGGCTCGAGTTACACGAAATGTACATATCCTTATGGACACAGTAGTAGATATATGGAATCAGAAGAACTCTTGAGAGAGAAAGAAGCCTATGGTCTCTGCCCTGTCCGAAAAGCTACAAACCGTTCCTCGTACCTAAGGTCACAACAGCACAACTATTATTGTTGCCGAAGAATGAGTTCCTATATATATAGCCACTCATGGACAAAACTTGAAGAAGTGTAAAGTCTTTGATGTCGCCGGTCGTATGTTTTTTTTTTTTTTAGGAAACAGAAACAATTTTGTTCACACTTGGTTATCTCGTATGTCTTCAATAAAGGTCACTATGTATCAAATATCTTTCAGAGTTATTGTCTGAATACCGATATATATGCTAAAAGGTACAACTTCCTTAAAGTTTTTTTTCTTCACAGGTGTAAGTATTAAAAAGGGGTGGAGTTTAAAATAAAGTTTATTAAAACTCTCTGAGATTTAACTCTAAATATTCGGATTTTGATCTAAGTCTAGCTGTCTTCAGGATGGTCTCTGGTCAAAACTCCGAGAACTGAAGATACTATTGCGAGTGGAGATTTTTTTTATTATACTGTATTGGTTAATTAAAGGCTTTTTATAGATCTTGTTTTACCATTCTCTCGTTAAAGTTTTATACTTTTCCTGTTGCGCAAAGAGGAAAGTATTGGCTCACCATCATCAGTTGCCTTCTCATAAGAAATTTCATTAGGTTTCAACTGCGTAGTTTGGCCTATATGGTCTTAGTCAGTAACAAATACAGAAAATCCTCACTTATTATTTTATTAGAAAACGCTAAAATGTTGGTACTTACTACAAGTACACAAGGTCTTATTAATCATGGCGGGAAGAGGTTCTTGATTGCTTATATCCCTTGAGATTCTTTGGTCACATCGCGCGACGCAGGGGGATGGAGTACACCATACTGACCGGAAAGATGTCTGGGCGACACATACCTGGACGCCCGCCGACACACTTCGTAGACCAATTAAAGGAACCCACTGGCTTAACGGTCGACGAGATGGTACATCGAGCTCAAGACAGAGATAGCTGGTGTCGCATCGTGTTTGGGATGTAATATGTACAGTGGGTCACAACGTTCGATCGCGAATAAAAGGATTTATAAAAAAATATTGCACGTACACATTTCATATGTCTGCATATATAAAAACAATTATATATTTTCACTTATGAGATGCCAGAGAGTAAATTTTAGCTACTTGCACTCACTAGTGGGGTTGTCTTTATGTAAGAAAGGGGACTATTGAAATATATTTAAGTAAAAGAATGCTAGATGTGTACTTCGATTCCAGGTACTGGCTGACCAAAACTGGTAGTGTATGTCACTAATCCCACCCGAGTTAATTGTAATTGATTAATGTGACACGCGCGCGCTATAATTATATAACCTCGGTATTAACTAATGTTCAACTAATTGCTAAAGTAGTTACTGTGTAGCTAGGTTACGACGTGGTGTAGTACAGAGTAACGATGTATCTGTACATCTCCAGTACTGATCGTTGAGAAGGCTAGCTCGAGTTACGTTCCGTCACGGGGAAGTTCAGTTATTTGCGCAGCTAAAGTCCAAGCAGACGACGCTAAATTAAAGCCAAACGGAACCCAATTGACCCCTTGACCTTTGGCGCTATCACGCTGCGGCCAGCCACACGCAACACTTTCTGATAACACGTGGTGTCTTCAATCAATATACTACCAGAAAGAAACCTCCTTTGTACGTCATTTAGTACGGATCGTTTCTTGATGGACTTAGTTTTGTGCTCTGGAGTACGTAGAAACCTCCATGAACGACCATTTGATGAACGACTATAAATATAAAATCCAAGATGTCTTGACCTTACATAATCCGACCTCCATTGAGAGTATGATTCTAGATGAGACCAGAAGGTTTGGCTAGGGTCTCTCTCCCTCATGGCTCCTCACTTCGATCACTTACTCCTAAAAATTCCGATAATCAGTGATGGCATTGAAGGACAGATGGCGAGTAAAAAACACGGCTATTTGACATTTAGCAGAGAGGGTCATCATTAACGTAATTACCAAGATATAACACAATCAGGCTGCGACATAATAATTTAATTAATTCTAGTTTGGGGGAAAATAACACACTAATGGATTCTCCATTGACATTCTACAAGCTCAAACTATATAAGATATAAAATTTTAATTTTGGGGAATGCCCTTTCCTGGATCTAATTAGAACGTAAAACTGCCTGCAAAATAATTTGTATTGGAAGAAATATATATTTGATTATAGTCAAGAATAGCGCCTTCTCTTTTAAAATACATTTAAAACTGCACATCTTCTCGCTATTATTTGTGCAGATCATGCGGATACATTAAGCCACAATACCAGCTCTGGAAAATTAAGATAAAAGATAACCCTATATAACATAATTTCGAGCTATGGCCTTCATCAGTACAGGGATGGCTTCGATTTCGTACCATCATACGGGAGGCGCTATGCAATCGATCAAATCTACAAAGAAGTTTCAGTTGGTGAAGTAATACGACCGATTCTAGGCAAAATTCATAGTAAGTTTGCAAGAGATAATAGATTATTATCATGTGCAAAAAGAGGCACTCCTCCATTTAAAAATGTATTAAAATATTAAGACGAGAGAGGTTTATTTTTGCATAAAAATATAATTCTCTCTTTGTCAAAATAAAAAAGTTTGATTATACACAATGGAAACCGAGTGACATAGGAGAGCCATAAACAAGGGAATTTGGGAGTAAGCCCATGGTGCACGGCGGTTACAAACACATCTATCTCCGAGAGTTCTATCGAGCCAGTTTTATGTCTCCCCACTAATGGAAAGCCCCCAACGTACCATTCCCTATATTGGAAATCTTTGTCCCAAAATAAGGAATAATGATCATTAAATCCAAACTTGGGATCCCGATTTTAAAGCGCCCAGGGCAGCCCACTAAAAATTAAATCAGAACCACCGATATGTGGTCGATACGGCGTTGTTTTCCGATGGCATATTGATCCGGATGGTCCATAAATAATGCAGGATCGCCGCCAGGATGGCCAGGTGTGGGCAATGGACGGCGTGGATACTCTGCGTGTGTTTTTTACGCACAAATGGTAAAGGCGCTTCCCCTATATGAAAATTCACTAAAGGCATCGGAGATATTCAGTGCAGAATTAAGAAGATGTGCAAATTTCACTAAAGGCATCGGAGATATTCAGTGCAGAATTAAGTAGAGATGTGCAAATTTCCCTAAAGGCATCGGAGATATTCAGTGCAGAATTAAGTAGATGTGCAAATTTCCCTAAAGGGATCGGAGATAT